GAGAGAGAGGAAGGCGCGCAGTTAGGGAGAAAGACACAGGAAAAAGGACACAGCAAGAGGGGGAGTGGAACAGGGAGAGAGTTTCCGGGGAAGAGTGAGGGAGAACAGGAGCCGGTGGGATGGAGCCGGCAGGAGAGGAGGAGGGGCCGGGACACAGACAGGGGAAGATGCAGGAGGAACTGGGAGAAACAGGGAGAGACAAAGAGACAGAAAGAGAGGAAGGGGAAGCTGGTGACAGATCCAGAGAAAGACAAAGAAAAGTGAAGGGAGGAAAGAGTGCCCCAGAGCCAGAGAGACAGCAAAGAGGTGGGCAGAGAGGGGAGTGTGCACAAGGAGGAAAGACAGAGGCAAGGGCAGGAAGCAGGCAGGCTGAGGGACCCAGGGACAGGCCTTTCTGTGAAGGGCCCTGGCGACAGGGGCTGTGGACAGAGGGGCTGGGGAGGCCATGCGCTGTCTGAGGGAGCTCTCTCAACAGGCCTCACTGCACTTAAAAATGCCAAGTCCCCTGACTGGTCTGGTCTCTGGTCTGTCACTGACAATGGTGACTTCCAGGTGATGGGGCTGCCCTGCTCTATAGGGAGAGGACCTCCAGCACTCTCCCAGTGCCTTGATTTTCACCCATGCCAGTAGGCACTCACTGTGATTCAGACCAGGCACTGAATCCCATCAGGGTAACTACGACCCAGAGACCTGGGTCTACCCTCCTATCACTAGTAAGGCTTACATCAGTGAACGACCCCACCAAAAAAGCCTGGACTTTGGTTAACGGGAGGGGAAATGTATCAGGTATACACTCTGAGATATATGCTGTTCCTGGAGCAAAATTCTTTACCTGAGTTCTCTGTTTTGCTTTACTGCCCCAATAATGCATTTTACAATTGAGAGGTACCCCCCTGTGAAAGAAGACTGCACCCCTTCCCCTCTCCTGTCCTATACTCTGAGATTTTGAGAAGCCCACAGTCAGTGACCTTTGACTCAGGAGATTTTTCCTCTGATGGCAGTAGTTCTTCTAATGTACCGGTTAGGCTAATGGCTTTTCCCGCCCTGAGGACATCAACAGTCCTCTGGCAGAGAAGATGGCACAGCCATTTGCAGCTGTGAATGTTTCTGCTAAAAAGATCTCTCTTCTACCCCACATTTCAAAATAAGACCCAAATGCCACCCTGCATGACAGATGGAGAAGAAGAACCCTATCTCCCAGAGGGCCAGCAAATGTTGTGGGTAATAATACATACAAGCTATCCATTCATCAGGAAGTTCTGTATTTTTTCTTTTTTGTCATACTGGGGGTTGAACCCAGGAGCCCTTTAATGTTGAGCTATATCCCAACCCTTTTTATTTTGTGACAGGATCTTGCCCAGGCTGTCTTATAACTTGCAATCTTTCTGCCTCACACTCCTAAAGAGCTGGGGGTACCTTTGTGTCCCACCACATGTAACTTGGTTCAAAAGTTTTTGTTTTGTTTTGCTTGCTTTGCTTATTTTGTGTTTTGCGCCAATCCTCATTCTCTAAGCACCTTCCGCCCTCCCCCCCAGTCTTCACTGTTGGAGAATGTTTTCTTCCATCTGACTAAAACCTGAAGAGGACATTTTCTCTCCTGATTGGATTTCTGTAGTTGTTGTTTGTTTGTTTTTGCTTTTTTTTTTTTTTTTTTTTTTTTTTTTTTTTTTTTTTTTGGTTTTTTTTTTTTTTTTTTTTTTTTTTTTTTTTTTTTTTTTTGTCTTTTTGAGACAGGGTCTCACTCTGCAGTTCAGGCTGCCCTTGAACTCACTTTGTAGCCCAAACTGGCCTCAAACTTGAAGCAATCCTCCTGCCTCAGCCTCCCAAGTGCTGGAATTACAGGTATGTGCCACCATACCCAGCCTCCTGCTTGGATCTTTATGCCACAACTGCCCACAAGGTGGAGGCCTGGGCCACCTCTGCAGGCCCCCACCCCTCACCCCAGCAACCCAGCAGCCCCAGTCCTGCAGCCTTTCTCAAATCTTCTGGCCTTTGCTTTGGGGCGCCCTGCTGCCTAGTGTGCTCCCTTCCATCTCTCACCATTTCCCTCCTGCTCAGGAAAGCTCAGTTTAGCCAGACACGATGGCGCAAGCCTGTAATCTCAGTACTCAGGAGGCTGAGGCAAGAGGATCAGTGCAAGTTGAGACCAGCCTGAGCTACAAAGTGAGCTCAAGCCCAGACTGAACTGCATAGCAAGACCCTGTCTCAAAAAGAGAAAGAAAGAAAAAGAAACAAAAGAAAGAAAGAAAGGAAGGAAGAAAGAAAGAAAGAAAGAAAGAAAGAAAGAAAGAAAGAAAGAAAGAAAGAAAGAAAGAAAGAAAGAAAAGAAAAAGAGGAAAAAAGCTAGCTCACACACCTGGGCTGGAGAATGTCTCACTGACTTGGTGAAGACAGGTTGTGTCTGTCCCCGGCTCACATCCTCTGGGACTGTTTCATCAATTCCCCTGAAAGTCATAAAAATGTCTACCTCTGAAATGCGAAGGGGGCGACAGACAAAGAATGGTGGGGACTAGAGCAGCTTGGGGGTCGCTGAGTTGGGTCGGGCTCCCAGTAGACAGCTTGCCCTCGGAAGCACCATGCAAGTTGCCAACGCCCTGTGCAAGGCTACTGGTTTATAGGGCACTGAGTAAAACAGCAGGAGCAGGACCCAAAGCAGGAAGAGGCTGTGGGGAAAGCCTCGAGTGCGCTGCGCTCCAGCCCGTCCTTGCCAGGAAGCACGCTGTCCAGCTGTGCCGACAAATGCCCTTGTTAGGCTGCAGTCTGGCACAGTCTCAGCATCTGGACAAGGGTCGGGTGAGGGTTGCACTACAGGATGGAGTCACTGTGGCTAGGGTTTGGAGGACAGTTCTCACTACACGGCCTCGGATTCCATTCCAGCCAGGGTCTTGCAAACAGGTTACCTGTTCATGGATCTGTCACTTAAGGCCCTTCCTTCCCCCTGGCTGTCCACATCTAAGGGGAGACAGGAGCCTAAGAACCTAGATGAATCTCTGGAAGATCCTGCTGGACTAAGGCTCAGTTTCCCTCACCATGGTCATAACCTGCTTCGTCTAGCTTTATTATCTCATTATCCTAAGATAGTAAGATGAATCTTATCTTATTATCTTCTTTCTGTACTCTTGATTCTCCCTCTGGTCCCTAGGTATGTCTCCCCAGTGACTCGTCTGTTGCAGAATCCCGGGCCCAGGCTCTGCAGTCAGCGTCTATAGGGAACACTCAAGCTGAGGCCGTGAGGCCTCTTGTTGCCCACAGCCCTGTGCTGCCCTCTGTCCTTGTCCTGGTCGTACCCCCACATCCATCCATGTTTTCATGCCTGTCCCTCCCGCCTGCCAAGACCTCCTTGAGGTGGGCACTGGACCTGGTGCTAAGGAAGTCACCATCCATTCTAGGCACTGAGTGATAGAATGACTGAGCAACTGAAGGCGGCATCAGGATCAGTGCTCTCTTCTCCCCCTTCGCTGCTCTCTGCTCTGTGCTGAGCTCAGCTTGTTCCACTGGCCTGTGCCCCCCACCATAGGCTTCTTTTCTAAATCCAGTGCAGACCAGTGCCCTTGGCTACCTGCAGGGCTCACCAGCACTTGGCTGAGAAGAGCTCAGACTCCAGTGTGGAGGCCTCGACCCCAAGTACTGCAGTCAAGGGACCCAGCCTTGGACACCATAGAAAGAGGCAGAGAGAGACCTGGCATCAAAAATGGAAATTAGTTTGTATTTCAGGTTCTCTGCTTGTTGGCTCTTAGCATCACCCGTCCTCTGTGTCTCCTTGGAAAAGGGGGTGCCTGAGGGGCTGAGGTTGTGCTGAGATCACACACCTGCTACCCGGAAAAGAACCTTTCGCGCTGACCACTGTCACCCTTAGTTGCATTGACCGTGGGGGTGTGACACAGCACCTGGTTCCACTCCTAAGCTACTGATGAGGTGAAAGCATCAGAAGTCGTTGGCTACTTGGGTAGTGCTGGCAGCAGGGATAAAGGGCAACAGACACAGTGCACTACTGCCATTCTTTCCAGCACTGCGCACCTGTTGTGCGCACCTTCCCCGGCTCCCATGGGCCCCAGAGGAGGCACTGTGCAGCTTGGACGGGCAGAGAGCTGAGGCAGAAAGCGTGGGATGGGGCAGTGTTGGCCAGCTGCCCTCGCCCAGGCCGGTCCTGTCTTTTATCGGAACCCTCTGGGACCTGGGCTCATCTTGGCACCTGTTTCCCCACTGCTGTGGTGGGGGGGGGGGAGATTGGAGAACGTGATTTTGAGGGACAACAGGAGCACACAATTCCCTACATTTTTTTTTTTTTTTTGAGACCGGGTCTCCCTATGTAGTTTAGACTAGCTTTGAACACATTATGTAACTCAGGCTGGCCCTGAATTTGCACCAATCCTCCTGACTCAGCCTCCTAAATGCTGGGATTACAGATTTACAGATTACACCACAAGTTTATTTGTGCCACCCGGTTTATTTTAAAAGGTTAAAGCCAGGCATGTTGGAGCGAGCCTGTAATCCCAGCACTCTAGAGGCTGATGCAGGAGGATCACAATTTGTGTTCAAGCCCAGGCTTGGGAATGTATCGATTTAGCCAGACCCTGTCTCAAAACTGTAAAAGTTATTTAAAAAAAAAAAAAAGACAGTGCGGAGCGTGGGTATGTAGCTCAGAGGGAAGACCCTGGATTCACCAGGACCCCAACTGGGAGGAGGCGGGATGTAAGGTAAATTCAGCACTGCCCCTCCCCCAGCCTCCACCCCTTCCCGAAGCCCAGGTGGGCAGGAGGAGCGGGCTGCGGATAACAGCATCAGCAGAGCCCCTTTCTGCTCCCCGTCTCCAAGGACGCATCCCACTGTGTCCCCAGCGCCCAACACGGCCTCTGGAGCCCACACGGGACCAAGGTGCAGAGGTCGGGAGGAAGCTCCACGAGGGCCCAGGTGCCCGCCCCCGCTGGCTCCGCCCGCCCCCCCCCGAGAGGGGGGGAAGGTGAGGCCGGGGCGGAGCCCGAAGGGGGCTCGGCTTGGCTCGGGGATTAAACTGGCCAGGCATCCAGTTCCACACCTGCCGCCCTGTGATGGGTCCGCTACGTCCGTGCGCGTCCAAAATGCTGCTGCTCCTCCTCCTGCTGCTGCTGCCCGGGTCCACTGGCCCCGTAGCCAGCGAGGGTGAGTACCGACCCGGCTCCCTCCGGCCCCTCCGCAGGGACTGCCATGCACCAGCCTCTCCTCTGGTGCACAACCACTCATCTCTGCCGGGCACCCAGAAGCCCTGTGCCCTAGTCCTCTCCTGACCCTGTCTCCCACTCACCTCCCCCGGGGTCTCAGACCTTGCCTTGTCCTTCCCTGGGGGCCTCAGCCTGTGGGGCATTCTCCTCATTCCTTGTAGCCCTCTCTGGAAACCCAGAGTGCCTACACTCCTCTGACCGGTCGGCTTCCTGTCTATGCAGTCTGGGCAGACTCCAGGGGTTGGTGGGAAGCAGAGACAGAAGCAGCTGAGCACAGCAGCTGTCCTCCCAACCTCTCCCTGGGAGTCACCCCCAGAGAGGTCCCTGTGTGACTGCCCATTCCTGGGGTGCACAGATATCGTCAGGGAATATACAGACACCTCAAGCACAGAGAGACACCCAGGTCTCAGCCTTCCCTGGCACTCAGGGGGCCCATACAAGGATCCATGCTGCAATCAACAAAGATGCACCCAAGGGAGCACATGTGTATACAGCCAGGGGACACTTGGGATAGCCCCAGGGCAAGTTGAGACACACACAGGCACAGAAGCACAGAGGCACACATGCATGCAGCCCAGGACCCTGCAGGTGCCCACCAGCCCCGGCACTCCTGGAGGAGGCTGTCTGCCTGGGAGGCTGTCCTCAGGCAAGCAGACAGCAAACAGACCCAGCCTGACCCGCCCCGCCTATGTTGGCACAAAGGGAGTGTTTTCTTTGGTTCCAAACCCAGCATGGGTGTTCACCCTGTGCCCAGGCCACCAGCGGGGCCGTTCCTAGGCCCTGAGATACAGAAAGTGGTCGGTCAGGGGTGGGGATGACTGCAAGCAGAGAGCTTCGGGATGTGGTGCTGGGATAGGGGCCTCACTCTGCAGCTAGGTGAGTGCGTGTCCTGAGGCTTGGTGGATCCAGAGGTCACACACATGAGGAAGTGTGCCAGAAATGCCTAAGCCAGAGGTCTCCTTTATACTGGTGTAACTGTGAGGATGGTGCATGATTCCTGCTGCAAGAGAAAGGAGGCTGGAGCGGTAGGAGTAACCTCTCACTGTGCCTTGGGGTGCAACGGGGCCTCTGAGCTGAGTCCACCGCTCAAGGGAGCTCTGCAAGGTTTGTGGGCTGCTGGGAGAGTGAGGACCAGCATGCAGAGAGCAAGGTGACATTTGCGCTCTAAACTCCTTTTTTACATTTTCTTCCTGACACATCTCTACTCCCCCACCCCATACACTAATATGCTACTTTTTCCACTGAGGAAAAAAACAATTGGATTTAAATTTAGTCCAGGCTCCTCAAAAAAAAACACCTGTTCTAATCAACAGATGAAAGAGCCAGTTGTAGTGACCCTCACCTGTGAATTCCAGTGGTTGGGAAGGCTGAGGCAGGAGGATCACAGTTTAGACCCAACCTGGGCAATTTAATGACTTAGCAAGGCCATATTGCAGATTTTTTTTTTTTTTTTCCGGTACTGGGAATCAAACTCACGACCTTGCGCTTGCCAGGCAGGCGCTGTGCCGCTGAGCTACATCCCCAGCCCCCAGGTTGCAGAATTTTGAAAAAGAGCTGGGGATGTAGCTCAGCACAAAGGCCCTGACTCCAAACCCCCAGTGCCTCAAAAAGAGGTTGGGGAGGGGTTTATGAAAGAGACATGATGGCCTAATGCCAGGCACGAACCTCTACTGTCCTCAGTCCCTGGAGCCTATTTCTGGTATGCACCCCTGTCTGCTTCTTTGCCTCTTGGCTCTGGTACCCAGCAGTCCTCCTCCTTCCCTGCCATTACTGAGCACAGAAGAAGGAAGGAGCACTGGTTTGTGAGTCAGAGCCTGGGCTGAAGCCTCAGCTCAGGTACTTGTGGGCTGTGGGAGCCTCCTCTTTCTCACCTGTCAGCTGCAGCTATCCCAGTCATACCCACTACTATGTGTCGGGGCTGTACCAAGATCCAAAGACATGGTGGGCCCAGGCTGGGGGCCTCCCTGACTGGAAGGGGCCCAGAGTCAAGGAGAGGAATGGGGCCCAGGGACTGGGAAGTCCCCGGAGGCACCTACCTTGATGAGAGAAACACTGTTTAGCTCTGATGCCCAAGTGCCCAGAACAGGCAGCTAGGCAAACACTTGGTGCACGATTTTCTGTCTGATTGTGTCTAGACCTGCTGGGGTGAAGGGTTGCAAAGCAAGGCATTCCAGGAAGACAGTGTCCTATGCAAAGGCCCAGTAGTGTAATTGCTCATGCTGTGTTATCTGTGACTTGTTTTCCCTGCCTGGAGGATAGCAATCCTAACAGCTTGTTATGCACTGAGTGCTTTGTATGTACTATCTCCTTTATTCTGTAAGTTAGGTCACCTTATCCTCCACTTCATAAATGAGGAGACTGAGGCACAGAAAGGTTCATAGTTTGTCCAAGGTCACACAATTAGGAGGTGGGATTTGAACCCAGTCACACTGCACTACCTGCCCCATCTCAGGCCAGTGCCCTTCCCTAGGGCCAGGGAAGTCCTCACCCAACCTTTGTTTGTCCTCCAGCATCCAGAAGGTCACATGTGCATCGACGTGGGATATTGGAACTGGCAGATACTGTGACTTGTGTGGGACCTCGACCTCCCATAGTCTATGCGAAATACGGCTGTTTCTGTGGCCTGGGAGGGCATGGCAAGCCCCTGGATAGCATTGACTGGTGAGTATGTACTTGGGCCCAGGCCGGAAGCCCTACCCGACTCCTGCAGTAGTTAGGGCCTATGAGGAAATACAGAAAACTGATGTCAGGCTTTGTCCCAGAATGATCCCAGCATGCTGCGGAATCATCCTGCAGGCAGAGGTCCTGCTAGGTTATGTGACTGGTGAAGCTATGGCACCCGATGAGGTCCAGCCCAGGGAGGTTCTTGACACGGTAGCGGAAGAACGTTTCCTGTCATTTCAGTGAGCGGCATGGGCTGATTTATTAGGCAAGGTTAGAGAGTAATGAAAAAGGGAAAGGAGTTTCAGCTTGAGGGGAAGGGGGCACTGTCCCATTAACAAAGGAACGAGACCAGTTTTTTCAGAGGGGCTGAGGTGGGCAAAGGTCTGCTTGATCATTCTCCCAGTTCTGGTTTTGCATGATGGCTCTCAAGAAGTCCTTGTCGCTTGAGGGGGCCATGAGGTGTCTATTTCTGCTCCGGGAAGTCTCAGAGTTTTTTGTTTTTTTTCTTCCGGTACTGGGAATGGAACTTACGACCTTGCGCTTGCCAGGCAGTCGCTGTGCCACTGAGCTAAATCCCCAGCCCCGAAGTCTCAGTTTTATAGAGGCTCTGCTGGGATCCAAGGTGATGGTGGGTTTAGGGCAATGAATGAGGACTTCTGGGTGCCCATCAGTAGCTCACTGTCCCTGCGTAAATCTCTTATCTTGATGTCCTCAGTCTTGAAGAGAGATGAGATAGGTTAAGTAAATTTAGGGCTAATCGACCTTGTATTACCAGTTTGTAGACAGACACTCCCTAAATGATCAACATGCCTATGGACAGGGTTGAGGAGGGATCTGAACCAAATTTTTAAAGTTACAAAAGAAACAGACAAAAAAAGTGGAACCAAAATATATCATATACAGGTACAAATTCCTTATGATGAATATGATCTTTATGTATAAACAAACTGTACCAGTAAATTTAGCAAAAAGGAAGGGGAGAGACATACAAATGAAGGTCAAGCTTTGTTCTGCTTTTAGTTACCCACTGGGCACCTGGGGGCCCAACTGAACAGTCATTTTTTTTTTAGTTTTGTTGCATTTGTTTTGTTTTTAGCAAAAGCAGCTTTCAAGTCCCTGACCGCATCAGAAGAGAACGCACATCATATTTTAACGAGTAATAGATTAAGGGTGTGGGAGTCATTGCTCCTCTGTCCTGTGGTGGTGGTTTCTATCTCAGACACATTTTTTTTTTTACTTAATTCATGGCCTCCTTACTGAGCTACAGCTCCAGCCCATTTTTATTTTTCATTTTGAAGGGTCTCTTCAAGTCACTAATTTTTTTTTTTTTTTTTGTCTTTTTGAGACAAGGTCTCGCTATGCAGTTCAGGCTGGCCTTGAGCTCCTTTTGTAGCCCAGGCTGGTCTAGAACTCGAAACGGTCCCCCTGCCTCAGCCTCCAGAGTGCTGGCATTACCACCACACCCGGCTTTCAAGTCGTTAAATTGCCTATGCTGGGCTTGAACTTGTGATGTTCCTGCCTGAGCCCTCTCAGAGTGCTGTGACTCGGGAGTGCACCGCCACACCCAGCTCAGACACATCTTGGTACCAGTTGCCTCCGACCCTGGCCATGGGCTTTTATGCCACCTGAAAAATAACATAAAGATAACCAGACTTAGTATGCACTAGAAACTGCTCTGAGGATCCCCACAGGTCTTCACAACAACCCCATTTCCTAGACAAGGAGAGTGAGGCACAGTTTCTTGTCTGGGGCTGCACAGTGTACAAGGCATGGGAGCTGGGATTTCAACCCAGGTGATTTGGCTGGATTCACACCCTCAACCTCTGCCTTCTGCTACATTTGAGCAGGGCCTGCTGTGCAGAGGTATGGCCTGAAATCTTTCTGTGACTTTGTCATTTACCTTCATGTCCCTGCTTGGAGAGAAGCATGCAGTGTTCACCCCCATTTTATAGATGCATGCCCCGAGGCTCTGTGAGGAGCAGCCACTCCCCCATTTCCATAAAGCTTGTAGACAACACAGTGCAGGGTTTGGCTGCTTCTTCCCTTGTAGGAGACCGTATCACCGGCTAGTGTGGGTCCTTGCTTTAGTGATAATGGAAATTAAAACTAAAGCACAAATTTTCAGGAAAAGAGCTTTAATTGAAAGGTAAAAAGGTGAGGAAAGGACTCCAGCTTGGATCGTAGCTGGAGGGGGAGCGTCACCGGATCCAAGGAGCCAGTTTGATGGAGTGGTTGTGTCTGAACAACCATAGCCTCAGTCCTGGCTTCATAGCTCAGCTTGAATTCTTGTGGCTTGTGGGGCAATTTCAGCCTTGCAAAGCTCTAAAGTGACCATAGATGTAGGGCAATAGCATCTGGACGTCCCTGTAAATCTCTTATCCTGCTGATATTGGTCCCGTAGGGGGCTGAGATAGGGATGTAAATTTAGAGCTAACAAACCCAGAGTTTTGTAAAAGGAAGATCAAGCTTTGTTCTACTTTTAGTAGCCTTTTGGGCACCTGTAGGCCCAATTGAAGAGTCATCATTCTTAGCGAAAGCCACTTAGAAGTCATTGACTGCCTCAGGAGAAAATACAAATCATGCTCTTGATGAGTAAAACGTTAAGGTCACAGGAATTTGTTCGCTGTCCCTGCAGCGCTATGTGGCATGGTCAGGCCCATCTCAGATGTGATTGTCCCCAAGAGGTCTGGACTCACCCCTGAGCCTTGGAAGCTCCTGCCACCACACATGCACTCCCACAGTCTGGTTGTCTGCTCATCCTTCAGAGCCAGCTCAGGCATCTGCCGCCTCCAGGAAGTCTTCCTTGAAGCCTCCTTGGGTGTGCTACCTCCTGTGGGCTCCCAGAGTCCCTCTGCCTACCCTGCGTCCCAGCACTTCTCACCACACGTGTCTGGTGGCCTGCCTGTCTCCTTCCGCAGGCTGGGGGCTTCCTGAGATCAGGGCAAGAGCTGGCCGACCGCTCTGCCACACTCTGTTGAGGGCTCAGCAAAGTGGAGCTGATGGCACATAGGGAGAAGCTCTATAGGGAGAATGAATGAATGATGGATAATAGGTATGAGTGCTCCTTAGGGAGTTGCTCGACAGCAAATGTTTATTATGTTATATGTCAGAACGAGGGCTAGGCCCTGGGGACCCTATGGAGCCTGTCATCCAGAAGGACAGATGCTAATGAGGTTTGTCCTGAAGACTCAGGACAAACCTACCCTGGAGGAGGGAGCCTGTGCTTCAGGAGCAGGTGTAACAAGGAGACGGTGGCAGGCTGGGGAGGCAGAAGGCCTGGATGATAGCCTGGGGTGGGGGCTGAGACCCGGCATGAGTGGTCCCAGCAGAGGGTCCCACACAGACAGAACTGGAGGCTCGTGGCTCACTCCAGGGACAGAGCAGGCCTGGTAGCTGCAGCTCAGAGCCTCAGAGTGAGGCAAGCTGGCGGTGGCAGGGCCACCTCGAGCATGGCCAGAGATGGGGGCTGTGCGGGGCACACAGGGGCAAGGGTTGGGGTGATCAAGGGCAAAACTTGAAGCAGAGGACACAGGCTCCTTGGAGATCTTCAGTCCCCTATCCTCCCAGCAAGGGAGGACAGCCAGGAGAGTGACCCACCTGCCCATGTGACACCCACAGGTGCTGCCACCAACATGACTGCTGCTACACTCGTGCCGAGGAGGCTGGCTGCAGCCCCAAATTGGACAGCTACCCCTGGCAGTGTGTTGACAACCAGATCCAGTGTGGTGAGTCTCCAGCACAGCACATATATCAACCCCAGGGTCCCCGGGGTATCCTGAGAGAGCCTGGTGACACCTGTGCCCTTGCTGTAATAACATGCCACAGACCACCCTTTGTGTTTATCTAAATGATCTTTCACACCACACGCTTAAAACACACACACACACACACACACAACACAGAAACCTGTTTGTTTGGGATCTGGATAAAAAAGGAAAAGACATGACTCCATGCATAAACAGCCTAAAAGTCCATCACAAGGGGTCTGGGTAAATAAAACCATGATTTACTTACACTATGGAATATTCCACAGCCCTGAAAAAGGCAAAGGTAGAACTGTGTGCTCACATGGGAAGAAAGACGTGAATGAAAAATTGCAGCTGGTGCAGAGGCTCACACCATAATCCCAGCTCTATGGAAGGGTGAGGCAGTAGGATCACAAGTTTGAGGCCAGATGGCAACTTAATGGGACCCTGTCAAGATAAATTAAAAAATAAAGGCTGAAGATATAGGTCTCAGAGGTAGAGCCCTTGCTAGAATGCACAAAACCCTGCGTTCAGTCCCCAGCCTAGCAAAACAAAACACGAACTACAGAATAACTTTTCCATACAGCATTATTTGTGTATAAAAGAAACTTGCAGGGGCTGGGGATTTAGCTCAGCGGCAAAAGCGCCTGCCTGGCAAGCACAAGGTCGTGAGTTCGGTTCCCGGTACAGGAGAAAAACCAAAAAAAAAAAAAAAAAGAAACTTGCAAAATGGTACCACACTATTTTCCATAGCTAATGTAGGCATATAGGAAGCTGAGAAAGCCAGGTATGGTGGTACAAGCCTGTGATCCCAGCATTCCAGAGGCTGAGGCAGGAGGCTGGATCATTGCAAGTCTGAGGCCAGCCTGGCATACACAGCGAGCTCAAAGCCAGCCTAAGCGACATAGTAAGACTGTCAATAAATAAATAAAAAGAAAGCAAGCTTGGAAAAGGCTGTGTAAGGATACACCCAAACTGAGGATGGCCATAATTGTTGCTAGGGACAGGATGCAGTTGAGGGGAACAGTGGTAGAAGGCAGTTTTGTGACCTTTGTATGTTTCTGTTTTACAAAGAAAAATCTTCATGAATTACTTGTAAGTTAAAAGTTAAGAAAGGAAAACACAGCCCCAAAGCGTTTCAGGGTGATGAGCACGGATCCTGTAACTTTGCAGTGTTTCCAAACAAAATGAAACAAATGATGTTCCACGGCATGGATGGGCCTTGGCACGGTGTGAGGACCCTCCTGGGCTGGGGCTCTGAGGCGCTGACCCGCATACCCTGTGCTGGGAGGCCTGGAGTCCTCACTGGTTCCAGCCTAATGGGTCGGGGGTGGGGTGGGGAATGGAACCTGGATGGAGCCCAAGCCCTGAGTGTGCATTGCACTGGTTTTCTTCCCTAGACTGAACCAGGTGGGACTCACTGGGGCTTGCCTACCCCTTACCAGTTTAGACACCAGGAAATCCCTTTCCCTTCCCTGAACACTGTTCATACTTATTCAAAATGGGAGAATCATACTGAAAGTTGGTAACCCCTGGTTAGCTACAAATGTTTTACCTTGCTTACCTTGCTCTCAGAGGTAAGAAAAGCAGTTCCATCCAGTATTTTTCAAAAATCATGCTGATGCAGTGGCACAGGGCTATAACCCAAGCTACCCTAGAAGGCTGAGGCAGGAAGATCGTAAGTTCAAGGCCAACTTGGGCAGCTTAGTGAGATTCTGTCTCAAAATAAAATAAAAGGGCTAAGGGTGTAGCTTAGTGATAAAGCTATTGCTCAGTGTGCTTGAGGCTCTGGTTCACTCCCCAGTACCACAAAAATTAACTAATTAATTATTTAATTATGGAATTAAAACTACTTCACATCAAAATTTGAATTTCTGAATATTTAATTTAAAAAATTGGAGCCCCTAATAGGGGCTCCAGTCAAATCCAGTAGGGACCATTGGCATCTAGCATCATAGTGTACATTGTACATAACCAACTGCTTCTAAAGTTAAAAGGAAACAAAACTGGAAATAAAAAATGTTAAGTGTTCCTCAGAGCAACTTTCCTGGTTTTCAAACAAAGCAGTGAGAACAGGAGTGAGTTTGTTTGTTTGTTTGTTTGTTTGTTTTGAGACACGGTCTTGCTATGTAGTCCAGGCTGGCTTTGAACTCACTATGTACCCCAGGCTGGTCTCAAACTTGTGGGGATCCTCCAGCCTCAGCCTCTTGAATGGTGGGGTTACAGGCAAGCGCCAACACAACTGGCAGTGAGATTTGTTTTAAAGACTCAGGGTGCTTTCCATTTATAGTTTCCTTTCAAATGTTTTTCCCAGTAGTGAGAATTCAACCTAGAGCCTTTGTACTGAAAACTACATCCCTGCACTTTTTTATTTTTTATTCTGAGGCCGGGTTTCACTACATTACTAAATTGCCCAAGCTGGGCTAAAATTTGCAATTCTCTTGCCTCAGCCTCTAAGTGCTGGGATTAAAGGTGTGTACCCCCACACCCTGTCTTGGGTAAATTTAAAAGCTGGGCTGGAAGTATAGCTCCAGGGTAGAGCATTTGTCTAACAAATGTAAGGCCCTGGGTTTAATTTCCAGTACTGCAATCTTATTAATAAAATAAAATAATCAATTATAAGAGTAGGGAAGTGAGTAATGGTACAGATGGTGGATGAGGCTAGAGTTTCTTTTCTTTTCTTTCTTTTTTTTTTTTGGCTTTTTTGAGACAGGGTCTCCTTATGCAGTTCAGGCTGGTCTTGAGCTCACTTTGTACCCTAGGCTGGCCTTGAACTTGCAAGGATCCTCCTGCCTCAGCCTCCCAGGTGCTGGGATTACAGGCGTGCACAACACCATGCCCAGTGAGGCTTGAGTTTCAGTAGTGAGATTCAACCTTCTCCAAGGAACTAGAGATGAACCAGACAACTGGTTCCATCGCTTCATTTTTCTTTGCATTGACAATGAACGCACTACAAAAGTAATCATGTAAGTGCATAATTTAGTGATAGCAGAGCTGCAGTGTTGCCCAGCCACCAGCAAGACATTTTCAGTTCCACCCTCTAGACCTCATTAAGCAGCTTCTCCTGCCCCCATTCCTCCAGCACCTGGCAACCTTACAGACTGGATTTTTTTTATCTCTGGATTTACTCAGTCCAGATAGTTCATGTAAGTAGTATCATATACTATGTGGTCTTTTGTGTCTGCTTTCTTTCACTTAGTTTCATGTTTTCCAAGTTCATCAGTATTGTACCATGTATTATGCTTCATTAGGCAAGTGCTCTACCACAAAGCTATATGCTCAGCCTTTTTTATTTTTTATTTTTGAAACAAGGTGTTTCTAAATTGCACAGGCTAGCCCCAAACTTGAGATGCTCCTGCCTCAGCCTCCCAAGTAGCTGGAACTATAGGCATGTACCACCACACTCAGCTTCATTCCTTCTATGAGCAATTTTCATTCCATTGTGTAAATTAGGCACATTTTGTTTATTCATTCATCTGAAGATGGACATTTAGGTTATCTCCATCATTTGGGTGTTGTGCATAGTGGTGCTGGGAACATTCATAAAAACATTTTTGTGTACCTGTTTTCAGGTAGTTGGTGTGTGCACCTACGAGTGGACTTGCTTCGTCACATGCTTATTCTGTTTTACTTTATGAGGAAGCACAAACTGTTTTTCACAGTACACAGACCATTTTACATTCCTTTCTCCCCTTCCTTCCTTCCTTCCTCCCTCTCTTTTATTTTGTTTTGACACAAGTTTTCACTGTGTAGACTAGGGCAGCCTTGAAGTGGCTATCCTCCTGACTCAGCCACCAGAGTAGCTGCTTTTCTCTCATGACTGAGATGTCAAGTGTTTTTACATGCTTCTTCACCATTTTTATGTCTTCTTTGAAGAAATAACTATTCATGTGCTTTGCCCATCTTTATTGTGTTGTTTTGTGGTTGAATTGTAAAAATTTTTCATATCCTGAATTCTGAATTTTTATCAGATCTGTGATTTGCAAATATTTTCTCCCACTCCATAGACTGTATTCATTTTCTTGTTGATGCCCTTGATGCACAAGAGTTTTTTTAAATTTTTTTTTAAATTTTTGTCTTTTTGAGACAGGGTCTACTATGCAGCTCAGGCTGGCCTTGACCTCACTTTGTAGCTCAGGCTGGCCTCAAACTCGCAATAATCCTCCTGCCTCATCCTCCCGAGTGCTAGGATTACAGACATGCGCCACCATGTCCGGCTACAGTAGTTTTTTTTTTTAATTTTAAATTATTTTT